GGGTGGAGAGTGGGTTTAACACAACCGAGACCTGTTTTTACCAATCACATAAGCTCCTCTCCTTGCCTTTAAATCCGCCACCGGCGAGGCGTATTACTATTTTCATGAAGTAGTCAAGGAGATCAAGAGATGTCTGAAGACAGCAATGCCACACGATGGCGACAAAGGGCAGCTCCTCAACAAGTGTCACTGTAAGCGCTGCATTGGGCGTCCTCCACACTCTCTCATATGAGCACAGATGGATTTGGTGTGTGTAATGTTGGACCCACTGGTAAGACAAACACCCTTTTCCACAAATAAAGACACTCACATAAAGTTGCATATATTCAAACCTCACGTGACAAAGGTGAGTTGTGTGCACAGATCACAACATAAACTCCAATAATGGGATTAAAATCTGAACCATCTGTGCGTAAATGATGCATCGCGCTCCGTGGCCTGGCTCTTTCTTTCATAGATGTTGGCATATAAAATAAATTTGGTTCACAAAACTGAATATTATAATATCCGTATGTCGGCTTAAAGTAGATAACGCATCTGAGCACTGAAACAAATCATCTGTTCAGCCGCTGCTGAAGCAGGACAGAGAGAGGACACGGAGACGTGTCCAGGTCGAGCTGTGCGAGAAATAAGGAAGAAAGAAAAGGAGGGAGACGAATTACATATCTTGTTAACTTCATCATGTGTGTCTATTCACTAGATATTTTATTTAATTTAATGCAGTTTCAGCTGTGTTGATTCGGTCAGGTTGTGTGTCCAAACGCGTGCCAAACGCACTCATCAGATCAGATATAGATCAAAATATATCGATATAGATCTAAATGTATGTGCTAACTCAGATTATTAGTTGTTGATGATTATTTATTGCACTGAAATGTGCCTGACACTGTGGAAACCTGCCGGTGAGGCATGTGTGACATATGCCAATACGCCGCCAGTCTACCAAGATACTACTAGACCAGCTGCGTTACGCCTGCGCTTAAAGCTCACCAGGTTTGAATCAGCGAGCTTTCAGTGCACTTTACACGCACGGCGAGCACGAAAATGTCACTGCGCCCGCTGATTCTGTCGACACCTCCCCCTGCCACGCCACCACGCCCAGCTTGGCGGATCTCGGCTCGCCTCCGTGCGCCTCAGTCCACGAAAATACCAAACTGGCTGTACGCCGGGCTGCGCCAGATGAAAATACAACTGCGCGGGGCTCGCCGCCCTCTGCCGCCGCCTCACGGGCGTACACGAAAATAGAGCCCATAGTGTATAAGTGTATTACACCAGTATTTCTCAATCCTGGCCCAGATGTACCTCTGTCCTGCATGTTTAAGATGGTCCCCTACTCCAACATTTTTGATTTAAGTGATTGGGCTCTATTTTCGTTCGCGCCGGTGAGGCGGCGGAGGGCGGCGAGCCCCGCGCAGTTGTATTTTCGTCTGGCGGAGCCCAGCGTAAGGCGAGTTTGGTATTTTCGTGGACTGAGTCGCACGGAGGCGAGCCGAGATCCGCCAAGCTGGGCGTGGTGGCGTGGCAGGGGGAGGTGTTGACAGAATCAGCTGGCGCAGTGACATTTTCGTGCTCGCCACCGGCGTGTAACGTGCGCTGAAAGCTCGCCGATTCAAACCTGGTCAGCTTTCAGCGCAAGGCGGAACGCAGCTGGTCTTGTAGTATTTTGGTAGACCGGCGGCGTATCGACATACATCACTGATGCCTCACCGGCAGGTTTCCACAGTGTCAGGCACATTTCAGTGCAATAAATAATCATCAACAACTATTAATCTGAGTCAGCACATACATTTAGATCTATATCGATATATTCTGATCTATATCTGATCTGATGAGCGCGTTTGGCACGCGTTTGGGCACACAACCTGACTGAATCAATACAGCTGAAACTGCATCAAATTAAATTAAATATCTAGTAAATAAACACACATGATGAAGTTAACGATATGTAATGTGTCTCCCTCCTTTTCTTTCTTCCTCTTATTTCTCGCACAGCTCGACCTGGACACGTCTCCGTGTCCTCTGTCCGTCTTGCTGCAGCTGCTGCGGCTGAACAGATGATTTGTTTCAGTGCTCAGATGCGTTATCTACTTTAAGCCGACATACGGATATTATAATATTCAGTTTTGTGGGCCAAATTTATTTTATATGCCAACATCTATGAAAGAAAGAGCCAGGCCACGGAGCGCGATGCGTCATTTACACACAGATGGTTCCGATTTTAATGCCATTTTTGGAGTTTATGTTGTGATCTGTGCGCTAAACCCACCTTTGTCACGTGAGGTTTGAATATATGCAACTTTATGTGAGTGTCTTTTTTGTGGAAAAGGGTGTTTGTCTTACCAGTGGGTCCAACATTACGCACACCAAATCTATCTGTGCTCAGATGAGAGAGTGTGGAGGACACTTGTTGAACAGCTGCCCTCTGTCGCCATCGTGTGGCATAGCTGTCTTCAGACATCTCTTGATCTCTTTGACTACTTCATGAAAATAGTAATACGCCTCGCCGGTGGTGGATTTAAAGGCAAGGAGAGGAGCTTATGTGATTGGTGAAAACAGGTCTCGGCTGTGTTAAACCCCTATACGCACTCTCTCCTCCCCTTCTATGATTTATGCTGCCGGGAGGAGCTGAGTTAGGGAGGGGGGATACTTACGCCGGGCTGCGCGGCTCACCAAAATACCAAAATGTGCTTGGGAACGCCTTGTCAGCGCGGCGGATCTGATTGACTCTGCGCTTGCGGCACGTCTTCGGCGAAGCACCAAAATAGAGCCCATAGTGTCATTATCAGGGGTCTGCAGAGATTAATGAACAGCTGATCATTTGAATTGCATGTCTTCAGGCGTCTAAAAGAAGACGGGCAGGGGTCCTCCAGGACCAGGATTGAGAGGCATTGCATTGGACCAAATACCCGTTGCTCATTATTTTGAGATATAAAATACTGCAAACACACAGCAGTGCAATATTTTCATAACAGTCTTGAGTCATTGTTTTTTTTTTTTTTTTTTTTTTTGTCATTCTGGATCTGTAGGAACTTCAAGTCCCAGACATTGACTGGGAGAGTGTCGTATTGCAAGAGGACTCAAATGGAGCAGTTGTGGTTCCTGACATCGCATGCCCACTGGATGATGAAGCCCTGGAAGAACTTCAGAGAACTATTGATCCCCTGGGACATTCTCAGTCACGTGGTCGTGACTTGTACATACAGTTCTTGCACAAGGTGTCTGACATTAGAACATGAACATTAATAGACACATTAGCTGCTTACAGGAACCTTGTCTTACAGACATTTCCAGCAAATGCATGTGAAAAATCCTGAATGAAGTGTTGAAAAAATTTACAAATAAATGAATAACAAAACTTTATAACTTGTCTGTTTTTCAGATCAAATAGCCTTGGGCATATTAATAACTTCTTGTTTTGAGTAAAGCTACAGCTGTTAAACTCTGTGGAATCCACCACCATATCACACTGCTTCACTCATGATTCTTCTAAACTCAGTGGAAACGTCACAGTCTGAGTGCATGCACTCACAATTGGGTAACAAACCAACTGGTCTCCAAGCCTTTCCCCGCATTCATAGTCAAAGTTACATGTTATTTTGAAATGTCTCTTTTCATTGTCCTTCATTCACGGGGATGTGGGATTGCCCTGTTATCCACTGTAGCACATGTGGCGCTGCAAGAGGTTCTGTGTCGCCAGCTGCACTATCTCCCCATCTGTGATTAATATATTTTACAAATAACGTGAATTTAAGAAACAGTTTAAACTCAGTTTAATAAAAATCCAGGAACATTTATGCTTTTGGTACATTAAATTCTATGTGTATACTATACAGCAATGTTTTTCAACCTTTTCTGAACCACAGCACATTTTTCTGAATCCTGGGGCCCACCACCAACCAAAATGACACTCTATAGCTTAACACAGTATATATTATAGAATGTAGTGATACACTGAAATGAAAATTCTTTGCCAAAACCAAAAATGAGGAAACCAAGGCCAAAAACTGAAAGAAATTGTTACGCCAAGTATTAGTATCATTGTATTTATGGTTATGACTGTGTACTAATCTCACTAAAATCAAGGCATTGCAATTGTATAAATCAATATTAGTTAATGTTTAATATTAAATTAATATTAATTTATGCAACTGCAATGTGAGTTTTGAGTTTTTGAGTCAGCATGTTCTGAGTGGTTTACACCTTTAGATGGCACCCGTGAATCAGGGACTAAAACAACTCAAAAGCTGTTGTGAGCGGTAGAGAAGAAGAAGTAGCGCCAGTATGTTTACTTTGAAGCAGCTGAGAGCGGGAGCTGAGCATGAGTCTGCAATGTTGATTTCTGTTAAATGTATCAATAAAAGTGAGAAGAAGTGTAATTTCCCCCAGCGTCTGCTTGTGTACTTGGCTGCAACATCCGCCACAGACAGAGTGGGCGTGCTCGGATGGATATTCCTGTTCCGTGCCGTGTTCATCTCATATTCAGAATGGTGATCTGGATATTTGGATATCACGGATAAATTAAACCTGACGTGAAGAAACTTTTTGCAGATGCTCGGAATTTTAGCATTACCGCAATGCCAACCACTATTCATAGTTCTCAGATACATAGAAATACACTGCAGACATTTTGGCTCTTATCCAGATAAGCTCGGACTGGTTGCGGTTTTTGCTCGCGTCATCACAACATCTGTTTCAGCCTTGTTGTTTTGTTGAGAAAAGTGTTTTGGCCGAAAACCAAAAATGCACCTTTTGGCCATTTTCGGTGGCCGAATTTTCGGTGCATCCCTACGATATAATTTCTAGATTTATTTATACTCACTCAGTGTGTGCCCTTGCCATTTAGATGAACACAAAGCTGATATCCTGGCAGGAATGGAAGAAAGACGCACACTAAGCTCTTCCTCAACAGCTTCCAGTCTCTTTCTGTTTAGTTTTTTTTTTTTACAGGCAATTAGCCGTCTGCTGCCACCCAATGACATAGAAGAGTACTGCTCCGACACTCACTTTATTACTGTACAGACACTTGACAATGGCATATTATTTGCAAATTGGATAATTTTCCATGGCACACCAGACAATCTCTCACAGCACACTAGTGTACACAGGTTGAAAATCACTGCTATACAGTACATCATACCTGCCATTTCAAGCTCTTTTAAGAAATCTTGGAGGAAGTTGATCACCTTCTTCTCAGCTCTTTCCTTAGATGTCCCCTTTTCACTGTAATATGGCTGGCAGTTCATCATCATGAAATCGGCATCAGGCTATAAAGAGTGAATGCATATTTGGCTAAATATCTTTAAGTGTACAAACTCAGGCTATTAATGACATACAAAATCGAAATGTCAATACAGAACAACAATGTAGGCTATGTAAGAACAAAATAAGTGGCAGTTAAAATTTTTACTTTGGGATTGTTTTCCTTCAGTTATTTGTAAAATGATTGTAAAATACGATAGTTTTATATGATAATTGGAAAATTACAAGTGTTTAAGAAAAAAAAATAGTATTGATATAAAAGTTTTACTTTGGTGATCTTCCCAGGAACAAACAAGGAGTGGCAAGCTGCAGGGTTTGATGCCATCTGGTTCACCAGGCCATACAGTTCCATGCCCTTTCTCAGTTGCTGCAGCATTGGAATCACTCTTGTTGTCGAATGCAGAACAATTGCTCTTTGAAGAAAAAAAACAATACTGGTTTGAAAGGGTATTTTTTTAATGAAAAATATTTAAACTGATAATATTGTTGCTTTTGTGTATTTTCTTCTTTTGAATTGACTATCAATACGTATGTATCACTGTGAGAAATGTGTTAAGGTGTTGTCAAAATTCAAATGAAATGTTAATATTGTTTCAAAACACTTACCGAATAATGCTTACCTTGCTGTCCAGTTTGATCTGGCTGGTGTATCTACAGCTGATAATTTCATCAGCATACATCATCAGAGACTGGACATCTGTGGAATTTTCGACCTGAAATGTGCAATGTAGAGATGAAGCAAATAATGCAATAGGTATTAACATTAGAGAAATATTTATTATTTAACAATGCCTAAGAGCACTCACCCTGCTGATGAGTACACAGGATTCTAAATCAGCCACATCCTCCTTAGACAGAGAGTGAAAGTCAATCTCTCCCATGCAGAGGAAGTTGTAGCACCACTCTTTCAAAAAAGCAGGAGGTGGGCCACCTTGCGCAAGACTGACTGCCATTATTTCACCAATAGTTCTGTGTGCGAGGTAGAAAAAGTCTCAGTAAAATTTGTAAAAAGCGTTACCTACCTGAAATTCTCATTATCAAGCTCAGTCAAAGAGTACTTGGGATTTTTACCCTGGTTTCCAGCTCCTTCAAAGAATCTCTTTTCAATACCTGAAATCATTTCTTATGCAAAAGAGCAATACATAGATTTTGATGATCTATTGATTTTGTTTCATATAACAACAAAATGGTTACATGACCAACTTACCAGTCAGAAACTCTTTTCTAAGTGCTCCTGTATCAATGCCTGCCTCTCCTTTATAGACCACCTCCAGAGCACTGGCAGGAGACGCCGTTTTCTTCCTTTTCCATTGGAGAATGCCCCTTTCAAGAGGGTCTTCTCTGTCCACACACAGTATAAATTCTGTTGTGGTGTCAATTTGGTGTGTAAGGAAGAGCAGTACATCCTCCACACTTAAGGAGACAACAGAAGAAATATTAATACAGTCCCAAATACCCAAACAAAATTTGTATACAATAAAATAACTTGAAAGTATGTGATAGCTAGCTCTTGTTCAACTGAGAACATGTTGACTGTGTAAATGATGCTGCAAAACATGGATGCGCTATTAAAAATAAACACATGCAAAGGACATCCTAATACATCATATCTTTTTGGTCTGGATACTGGAGTGTGAGCAGCTGTACTTGGACCATTGTCATTTGGTGCAGAGGTCAGTGTACATTCAAAGCTGTACAGGAAACAATAGTCTCAAACACTAAACACTGAACATACAGTATACACAGACATTGTTCAGGTCATTTAAACTGTATACAGACATTAATCTATGAAAATGTTTATCATACAAATAGCAGGACAAAGCAGATTACCTCTCTCCACATAGACTAGCGTGGACTGTAATCTCGTCATCTGGGAATTCTTTGGTGCAGATTGGACAAACCACCCAAAATTTTAAAAAACATTGTTTAATGTTAACAAAACAGCTGTTGCAAAGCAAACCAAAGTGATCTCAGATTTTAATGATATGCCATATTTACCTTACACTTGCTCTCCACAACACATATGCCATCAGAGGACTGCAAAATTACAGAACAGTAAATTTAATTTAATTGTAATTTTTTTTTAAGAAAAACAAAAACAATTTGCCCTCACCTCATCATCATTATTATCATCATCATCAGACAGTTTACCCTTGCATGTCTTAATGTGCACTGCAAGCATCAGCAGAGGCCTCAATTCATTATACTGGTAACATGCCGTCTGGCATTTTTGAGAAGTGAGGTGAGTCAGGAGGAAGAGGAGAGGTGTCCAATGTCTCCTGAAGTGGTACTATGTAAAAAGTGGCTTTGCCGCCTGCTGACACAGCTCTCAGAGCTTTGGTAGTATATCCCTCTGCCTCTGGTGGAATGACAGTGAGTTTTCATCAACTATTCCCACCTTAATTGAGAAAAGAGAAATAAAACAGAAGTTTAAATATCATCTGTTTTGTTGAGAAAAAAACAAAACATTTAGTCAGTCAGACATCTTTAATGCTTACAGCAAGTGATCAATGCACCATAAGGGTTTACAGACCCCAAAAATGGGTAAGTGGGATGTAATAATCAGTAAATATGAAATCTTGAAACAATATTTATCTTACAAACCTGTAGCCTTATGCAAGAGCCACCCTCCACACAGACCCTCCGTTTTTGGAAATGTGTTAGCCAGGAGCCTGGAAATCTTTAGAGGGGTGTGACAGTGCACACAACTTAAGATAAAATACAATAACTAGCTTTAATGATAAGTTAAACAACTGGACTGACAGCTGAACTTCTGTGTGGTCACCATCTTCAGGAAGGCTCACCATTTGTCTCCCCATGCCCGCCTGAAGGAGTTCAAGCTCCTCAACAGGCAACGGTGTGTAGGATGTATTTTTTGGCAGCAGATAAAAATTGAGAGCAGCTGTATTACTGTTTATCTTAAGGACATGCTTAGTGGCAGTCAAACACCTTTTTTTTTTTTTTACCATGATTTAAGTTTGACTTTAAGTATCCTGGAAACAATCTGTGGATTAAAATATAAGTAAGAGTTTAGTAAGTGTTGCATTCAACTTCTAACTGACATGTATATAGTTTTTCCAATGAAATCACAAACAAAACTTCTGTCTGAGTGTGATTCAAAATGCACATTTGAATTCACACATCTTAGCAGTAGTGATGTGGACCTAACAAGAAAACTCTGTTTTTTCCCTAGTGCAAATGAGAATGACGTTGTGTGGCTTGAATAACAAACCTTGTCATTTCTTGCTACACAGTTACATTTCTAGGGGCTGGAGCAGGCTGCTCTGTCTCCTGCCTTGTGGGCCTGGTTGAGCTGTTTGTGGCTGCTGACTCAACTGTACCTTGACCCTAAATCAATCCAGGATGTACCATTAACATGGCTGGCTCTGTTACCAGCTAACAAAATTTGATGTGGAACTGTTGGATAATAGGTGTAGGCTAGTCAAAGGCATCATTATAAGAGTACCGACCAAAATAGCTAATGGCTAGTTTGCAAACTTACAATGGTTGCAAACTAACGTAAAAACAGAACTTTACAAATGTTTATAACACACTGTGTTTATAACAAAGGTAACACAAACTACTTACATGTGGTTGTTGTTGTTCACCTGACATTATCTAATGGTGCCCAGGACAGAAAGGAAAAAGTAAACCCAGACAAGGCAGCCCTAATGTTACATCACTAAAGTACAAAAACTAACAAGGTAGTTCTATAACATGAGACAATAATCATAATACTACTACTACTACTACTACTACTACTACTAATAATAATAATAATAAATACTGCCCGTACATTGTTTCCAAAGAAGTCCTCCTTCTCCTGTCCAAGTCCATCTGATGCGATCTCCTTTGCTTTTTCCGGGTGAATGTAACTAGCTATCTAATTGGAGAGCAAACAGCCAATCAGAGTGTACTTCCGCCAACTCTCTGATTGTTTGGCTTTGTGGCACATTTGTAACGTGTGTGTCAAGCTGAGCGCACAGAGAGGACAAACCCGAGCGCGCAGAGGGCGAGAGGTTGAGCGAGAGAGGGGGGGGAAGTGAGCGCGTACAACTAACATGCAAACACATTTATGGAGCACAGAAAAGATTTTTTTTTTTTGCTCAATGTATTTTTTCTGTGCTCAAAATCTGTCATTGCTCGCTCAAAATCTTTCATTGCTCGCTCAGGATACTGGCACAAATATAATTCCATAAGAGTCTGACCTGGGAACTCATTTCAGTAGAAGTGCAGTCTGTTCTGAGAAAACTTTCAGCACTGAACCACCAGGAAACAGATTTGTTTTTGCATTAATTGAAGATGCGAGAAATGTTTGTGTCTGTCCACCTGCAAAAACCAGGAAACCCAGCCTGCTTTAAGATCTGCGGATCCAGCATTAGTCAGCAAGTCAAAGCAGCAAGGAGTCAAAGCAGCCACCACTGCCACAAGGAAGCAAACCTTACGACTGTACGGCAACCTGCACCCAACTTTGCAAACCAATTATTGCACTCACCTTAACTACCATTAATAATAGATAGGTCTAAATAAGCCTCTGTTTAAAAACTGGCATCCTCCCTGTGAAGTTCTTGCATATGTGGACTAATATAGGCTCTTTCAGGATGAGAGTGCCCAGCGCAACTCCCTCAGTGCAGATGCTAACTGCTCATCTCCACGATCATTCTTCAAACAGGAGGGAACTGCACAGAGCTGCAGGACTTGATAAGAAGTTAATTTGCAGATAGTTTGGTGAAAATAACGCTCAATGCCGGGTGCTGGCAGCAGCTGTGATGCAGTTTTGGTAAATATCTCCTTCTGTGGACTGAGGATCAATGACGAAAGAGCCACACAGGAGCCTCTTCAGACCAGGGCAGCTGTCAGAAGAAGTTTCTATCAAATAACATGCTGGAGATATTCAAGACATTGTAAAAGGTGCAGATGAGTTTAAATAGTAATATAGTGAGTTTGGTTTCAGACTTGATGGTGGACATGGAGGGGGGACTCAAACCTGCAATTGAGCTGCGGTGGTTGGAGAAGAGTTCAGGCTTGCACAGAATGCATGCAAATCTAAATCTGTGGAACATGAGGGACTGTTTGAGTTCATTACATATAATAAACCAAATCTTAGATTCTTTCAGCATGAAATTAGCAACTGCAAACTTTGGTTATGGTTATTGATTGAACAAAGACTCAGTATTCTCTGACACAGGCTCTAAATTACCATTTCATCCATGCTGCTGCTGTTTGAGGGTTTAGATTTTACTTTTATTCAGCATGCAGGTGTAAATCTGTGGTGTGACTTAAACAGGCTGTATCATGTCCTCCTCGATGTCTGAGGATGTCCTTTAAAGTCATCGAACCCCCTCCTCCACACACACACACACACACACACACACACACACACACACACACACACACACACACACACACACACACACACACACACACACACCTCGGCTGCTCAGATCCACCTGAGGACAGTCCAGTTCAGCCGCTTGTGTCATGCAAACCCGTATTCATTGACTGCAGGTTGAATTAAGTGACACATCCTGACTGCTGCTGACCACTGAAGCAAAAAATTATCCTGCCGGCCTAGAGAGAGGTCGGAACAGAGGTGGAGGAAATGGAGGGTCACATTTCTCTAACCGTGAACCGCTGCAGAGAGAGTCGAGCTGAACACACACTGACAAGAGCCGGGGTGGGGTGGGGGGATTGAAGAGCTGATAGTGACCCTCCATTTTCTCTGACATCTTTACTTTCTGTTGAATGAAGCTCTGCAGGATTACCTGAGCTAACTGCATTAATATTTCAATGATCCTTTTTGAATTAATGGAAACTCTGAACTGCTACAATTAAACCTGTCTTGAATGCTGCATGCTACACATTTTAATATGATCATTAAAATGTGTATCATGCAGCATTCAAGACACTGAACAAGTAAGAGCTATAGTGTGCTGCAATCAGCTGTTCTTTAAAAAAAGAACAGCTGATAAACGTAAAATAGACACAGTTATAACAGCAGAGTAAAGTCATACTGAATTGGTGTAATCAAGATCCAGATCAGCTGTTTCTGGATCCTGTCTCCATCTGGTTCCGTTGCATGGATTAGTTTGAAACTCATTGTTGGATGCAGTCATGAACTTTGTTTGGCAGTGATTTGGAGCCGATGCGGTGATTTCCACTACAGAGTACCTGTTTGGTTTTTCCTCTATAACAACTTTTTACTTGTTTGGTTGTTCCTTTATGAGAAGGCTTTAAAGATGTGCTGCTGGTGTAGAATTGAAAATGGGCAGATCATTTCCAGTTGTAACATCTGTTCTATTGTTTTTGCTATTTTCAGTAAAGTGTAAACTTTGATATTGTTTTTTTATTGATTAGCAAACCATCAAATTGTATGTCTAACAACATCTTACAGCATCCTAACTCTTTGAAATTTGGGGTTTTGGTTCAGGTTGTTTTGACTCCAGAAATCTGGCACATTCTCTCAATTATAAAGAAAAGCTATTACAATGAGACCATTTCACTTCCCCTACCCTTTGCTCATTGTAAACTGCATTGTTTGTTTGTAGAGTTCACTCTATCTCTCTGTAAAGCAGCAATCTCCTCTAAAGTGAGACAGCTCATTAATGTAGATTTAATTGTTCAGTGATTGTTTATTAACCAAGACAAATGAGAGTCACCCATTGACTGTATAAAGAATAGACAGAGTCTGCCCCCTGGCTGGGTGAAGCCACTCCGAGAACAGCACCCTCTGTTGATGGGCTGCAGTATAGGTCATAAATCCCGCCTCCGCCAGCAAAGCTTATGGGGCTGTGGATAAACTTTAGAAATTAATTACACAGAACATACATTTTTCTCCCCCCTGCTTGTGATGTTGACATGTAGTTATTGTAACACTAGTTTGTGCTCAAGTCCTCTTTTTTCTGTGAAGCTCTGTTTTTAAAAGTTATTATGGGGGTTCATGTTTTCTATGATTGACACCTGATACAGCCTATGGGCGTTCAGTGACTGCATAGCTCACCCGAGGGCTATGCTGTTTGAGCCGAGCATCATCACAGCGACTTTCGGCGACTGCGCGCCCGAATGCGCGCATCGCCCGAATGCGCAGCGCTGGTTCAGGAAACGAAGAAAAATCCCAGAAATACCGAGAACTTTTTGGCTTCAAATCTGTATACAGGCGGGAGGCGGAACCAAGTTGTCCATAGTATATACAGTCTATGGAGTCACCTGACTGAAGGTAATCTGTGACCCTGTGACCAGTTACTTTCAAATGAAGCTAAATGCTCTGGCGCTCTGGCGCTCACAGTTTTTATAAAGGTCGAATTAATTTAAAGTTCTCTAATGGAGCCAAACTTCTTCCTCCCCCCTCACTCTGAACACAGAGATAACTTCATAAAGAGAGGTGCAAGTAGAGGTGTTTTCATGGCTTGATAGACATGGCTGTCCATATTTGTTTATTTCAGAGATAATCAGTCCTTCTAAGCATGAACTCTTATCTGTCTCCACTGAGGGGGAAACAGCAGCAGATAAGAAGAGATGCAAAACTTTCAGTTTGTTGGCGTGACCTGAAGTCTGAAATCTCCTCCATCACTCCCAGGAAGCTCCACGTGACCGCCGTTATCAGTTGGCGTCTAGGGTCACGAGACAGCCAACAGATTGTGAGTTTTAAACTCGTCACCCAGAGGATTTCGATTCTTCTGTCTCCATAAACATGCTGCAGATCCTTGCCTCGGCTGAAGGAAAGCAATTACAGAAAAGTTCTCCAAATGATGAGCTGCCAATCAGAACCTGATGAGTTTATGTCCCGCTCTTAGACACTCTTCTCTGCTGACATTTTTTTCAGAGCAGTTTAGTTTAAGAGCAAAAAAGTTAATCATCAAAATGTTCAGATGTTTTTTAAAGCACAAAGCTTTACTGGTCACCAAATTTTGCAAAATTTCAGTTGTCTTGTAACTCTGTATTGAAGATGTGGTCAGAGTTTAGGTGAACAATGAAAACAGCTTAGGCAACTCTGTTCACAATCACATTTATGAGGATAATGAGAAAAGAAAAACAGTGTGGCTCATGCAAAACAAAAATAACCTTTTCTCATCAAGAGATGCAGCAGCCTGAACAGTCAGGACTCGGCTCCGAGTCTCTGTTCAGTAGCCTCTGTGCAGATTTGACACTTTTTTCAGAAAACTGTTGCCTAGCTTGCATGCAGGTTCTTCCTGTAGTTTCTTTTTTTAAAGGGCCAAGCTGGCTGACATCTATAGTGGTTAACACACTTATAACTCACTCTACCTCACTTAAAAAAAATACTGAAATGTCCCTTTAACTCACAGAAGGAGTAACTGCTCTGCCTCAGCTGACAGTTTAACCAGCAGAGCGAGCATAGACTGAGCTGAAGGAGCCCATCATTAAAAACTCTGCTGGCCGCCATACCACCGCTCTCTTTTCAAAGAGAGAGGGTCTGGACTTTGGTCTCCCTCTCCCCATTACACCGGGAAGATCAGAAACTCCCTGTCTTCTTCTGGAGGCCGATCTGCAGCCAGCCGCTGCCTTCACACACACCCCCTATTACGAAGCCAATCAGGTATAATGAAGCACACGACGAGAACTCTGCGGCTCAGCCCAATAAATAATTTACTGCCACTGTCATCCTTCTCCCATCGAGCCGCTGCAGTCACACAGGAGACACATGAAGGCTTTCTTGGGGTGGATAGACACCGCAAAGACGGTGACACCCCCCCACGCATCACCCAGGTCCACCTCCCACATCCTCCCCTCAGTCATCCCCCCATCCTCAAATCAAACACCGCCCTCCCTCCTCTCCCTGCCTCACCCGTCGTCCTCTCCACCTGTCAGACATTTGGAGAGAGAGAAGGAGAGAGAGAGAGAGAGAAGGAGAGTCTTCGTTACTGCTGCAATTTCAAACAGATTTCAGCTAATGAGGAAACATTTAGAAACTCAGGATCCACTTCACACACACACACACACACACACACACACACACAGCCACATATAAACTCTGCTGCATCCCCCGCACACACACACACACACACACACACACACACACACACACACACACACACACACACACGTACGACTGTTTCTGTGTCTCAGCTCAGGTTGTCAGTGCAGGTGAACAAAGTGAATAGAAAATGTGACTGACAATAAAGATTTCTTTTAACATCAGTGGGAGGAAGGCGGGCAGGGAGGGGGAGGAAGGGGGTGGGGCAGGAGTGCACAGGGGTGGGGTGGGTGGGTGAGTGTGGGGAGACAGGCTGCAGAAGTTTGCATCACTCTGAAGGACCTGTCGGCTGCATATGCCATCTTTAATGACACCCAGAGAGCGAACCCTGCAAACCCATTATTCCAAACCTCTGTCTGTTTTCTCCCCCTCTGTACTCCCCCCTTTCTCGCCCCTGTTTTTCCTTTAAATGTGAGTTTTAATAGACACCGCTAAATTTCCGCTGCCGTCTCCTTAAAGTTTAATTCACCCACTTTTCTCTCAGCGCCGCTGCCCCATTATGGAGCCTCAGCGGCAGCAAACAGGCATTATTATTTCATTTTATGAAAACAGTCTCTCAGATGAAGGGGAGAAGAAGGAAGGGATGGCGCTGGCAATAATTTCATGGCACACTTATAACGGCAGGTTAGGAAGTGAGCAAAGAGCACTTTTTATATGACACTATTATCCTCACAGTTAACTGGGTGACAAGTCTTATTTACTGGATTCAACAGTTTCACAGTTTTTTAGTGTGTGAGAGAAAAGTTGTTTTGAGGTGAAGTGAAGGTGAAGCTGTGGAGGGAAAGATTTCCATCTCCTGCTGCCGTTAAGAAATTCTTAGTTCAGACCCACAGCTGAGGAGTCCTGAAGGATTCACCACAACAATCTGAAAGGCTTTACAGAGCCGGGGACTCATTTTGACTCCATGAACTGTTAGTTATCAACCTGTCACTGCAGTTAAAGCCGCTATAAGTTTTTTTCTTTTCTTTTTTACATTTATAAAATAGGTGGTGTGTCAGCCAGGCAGAAGTGACAATAAATGTCAAAAGTTACGACAAATGCATATAGAAGACAAAAAGTTCAAGACTGCTTCGTCCACAGGGGGTGCCAAAATTCACACAAACATAAGTTCCTCACAGGAGCTTTAATTTTTTTTTTTGGATGTTGTCATTTTGATGTTCCCAGACTTCACAGCACCATGGCAGCAGACAGTATACACTCATTGGTGGATTCCTAGGCTCTTGTACATAAATGTCAGCTGTATGGGAGCAGATAGAGTCTGTTCATGCTGAGCCAAACTGTCTGGATAAGGAAAATCAGCAGGAGCATCACTGCTAAGGTTGTTCTCCTTCTTCACATGAGCCTTTCACACTCATTCAAGCTAAAGCCTTTTAAAGCTACATGCAGAAAGTTGGCTCTGCAGTGAGCTGGACTAATCTCAGTCAAAATGTAATGATGCATTAAAGCAAAACCGTCACATTTTTAGGAGCCTGTAGATTTTTTCTTCTGCCAACTCTTAGAGAACAAGCGTTTGCCGTTTCAGCCGCACATCAGCTGCTCTAAAATAAGGAAATAATCTGGGTTTTGATTGCACCCGTGCTTCCGAGTATGAGCCAAACTGAAAGACATTATAGATTTTATTACATGCCTTAAGTCCTTTGTGTGAACATACATGTACTGCCGTGCATTTTTGCACATGTGGGTGACTGATTGAAGGTTTTTGAAAAGGAGGGAAGGTGATCAGTGCGTCATCAGTCCTAAAACAGTCCCATTAACACCCACAGACAGATTAATGTCATTAATCTCACTCTGAGCACCTTTAAAATTACCATTCACAGACTCCAACTGACTGTCCCAGAGTCTCCTTCAGCGCAGGGCCTAGAATAGACCAGCACTGAACACACTGAAACACACACACACACACACACACTGAAACACACTCTCAGCCTCAGTGTGTCCTACTCTCCCTCTCATTAGAGATGAACCTCCTTTGTGCAGCCACTCTGTATTTATAGTCCTGACTGTAGGAGCCAGATTCAGACAGGGAGGTGAGCGGGGGGCTCGGCCGCTCCATAAATACAGCGTTTGGTTAATCAGTCGATTAGTGTGAAACCATAACAACCCATAATGGCTGTTCAAATGAGCGGGTCACATCGTGTTGAAGTGCTGCCATTAAACTCTCTGTTGCTCTCAGGCCTCCACAGTCCACTCTGCACAGAGCAATAAAATTCAAACTGAGCACACGTTCCATGGCCGAGTTCGTGGACTTGTATTCTGCTTTAAATACATTAAGAGGTCACTCTACCGGAATAAAGACTTTATAACACCCAAATCTACAAAAGCAACCCTGAATAAATACACCCTGCAGACACACTCAGGGTGAAGAGAACTGAGCTGGAGAGCATGAGCACTGAGCACCAAGTCCCTGTAAGGGCTCATATAAACAGACTCATGAGATGTACCTGTAATATCAGCGCAAACACTGACAGAAGACATGTATAAGTATGTCTTTAAGATGACTCTGCTAACAGAGATATGAGGACATTCACTCACACACACACACTGAACCTTTAATGTGTCGGATCTTTGAACACACTCTTTCTGATTGTTTGAGGGGGATGTCTGTCATCTCCTTCATCCTCACATTTCTCCTCTCCTTCTCTTCACTCACACTCCATCATCACAAAACGACTCCCCTGACTGGAAAAGACAGACCCAGACTCCATAAACCTCAGACAGCCTGCCGTATGGTGTACTGTGTACACATGTGTGTGTTTTCTCCAGTTATCGCCTTAAATCAGATCAGCAGAGCCTCTTTAAAAAGGACGATATGTTAGAGAAGAGAAAATAAACGTCTGCAGGGAGGGATGACAGATTCTGTGTGTCTGTGAATGCCTCATACAGGACGTAAGGCTGTGAGTGTGGGAAAACCTCATAAAGGAGTGGCGTGCGAGGGAGACGAGCACCGTTGCCTGCGGGGGACTAATGGCAGCCGAGAGGCAGCAAAGCCTGAAATAAGGAGATACTAAAATTTATGAAAAGAATCAGCCATCCAGCCTGATTACCAGGGTGTGTGTGCGCGCGCGCGCGTGTGTGTGTGCGTTTGTCTGTGTGTGTATGAGGAGAGTTTTTAAAGCAGAGGTGAGACAAATTTCAGCCTTTCATCAAACCATCAGACTTTTTCCTCCCTCCTTTTCACTAAAGGCTCTCAGACTGAGAAAAAACAGGTTCGAATGTGTGTGTGTGTGTGTGTGTGTGTGTACGAGCTGCTGTTAGCATGTCTAAAAGTCTGTGTCACAGCATGAGAAGGATAACGCTGCTGAAATCCATACAAAGTCCACACGATGAGGTTTACATGATGAAGCTGGTGTAAAGGTCAGACGGTGTGTTGGGACGGCCGTAAACATAGAGTTAGTGTCTCTGCAGCTCAGAGGACAGGAACATGTGTCTCTGTGTCTCTCTCTTTGACCTTTCCTTTAATTAACTCAGATCTGACGCTCAGAGGACTGATGAGAAAGAGAGAGAGAGCGAAAGAGAGAGAGAGAGAAAGAGACGTGAGCTCAGAGCCTGACTACAAAGATCAACCTCTACGGCAGCTCAGAGAGGACATGATGTCTTCAGACTCTCTGAAGTCGAATCACTTTTTGTCTGCATTGGTTAATATTTTAAGTTTTAAGATCCTTCAGTCAGAGTGGAGATAAAAAAAATCACACCTGGAGCAGATGGCAGGTATAAATGTTGGAGTCAGAGCAGCAGAGACAAGTGAGGTCTGTGACAGGTGAGGATAAGAGGTGTGATGGTTCTGACAGCCTGAATACGATGAAACTTCAACAGAGCAGGGGCCCAGTTTGTGATATTGATGAAATGTTTTACAAATGTGACAATCAGCTTTTATTATGCAGAGAATTTAGAAACTGAGGTTCAGAAAAATGCATGGACACAGTCGACTTTTGGAAACTCACCTGTGTGCTTTTAAAGAATGATACACCTGAGGGGAACATTCATAAAAGAATGGGAGTTTCAAATGTGAAAGTAAGAAAAAGCTGGACAATTGGAGTTAAAATTACTCTGATTGAGTATTATTGTTTTTATTTCTTTAAATTAATTCTTGTAAAGTCTTTTGACTTGTATTGTTTCATACTCCCTTTTTTTTCTTTAAATCAAAACACTGCTTTTCCCACTCAGGATTGAGAAGGTGTAGGAACAGACCCTGTCTTTGGGTAAGACAGCCAGGGTTGAGAGACAGGTTTCCTCACTGCCAGCCTATCACAGGGCTTACATGGACAGACAGTCAGATCCACTCACACTCACACCTGCAGCCAGTTTAGAGTCACCAGTGAACCAAACAAGCAGGTCTGTGGACTTACAGGGGGAGCTTGGTCACTTGTCTCACTAGTTGAAGGTGGAGTGGTGCTCACTGAACTCCATCTAGTTAACAGCCATCTGAAATATCTGCAGACATGTTTATTTTATCTGAATATAAATTTTAACCTGAGCTCAGCTGTGTGACGGGACTTCATCACAGCTGCTGCCGTGGGCTGAGCTTCTTTTTTGGGTTTCCTCATTTGCTAATTTTAGATACACCCTATGGTGTACTTGGACGCATCATCAGTGATGTAACCTGAGATCACAGGGGGTTTCGTGTCTTTCAACAATCAGACCCCCTCCCCCAGATGACCCAGCTGGGGTTGATCAGGCTCCCGCTTGTGTCCAGGTAGCTCTACCCTACAAGCCACGCCTCTCCTCTTCTAATCCACAGCCACCTGGGTGCCACCGTCTTGATGGCCGTCTGCTGGCTGGCTCCTGTGATTCCCAGCATCTTGTAGGCCCTGCAGGGGGGATTGGCCCACAAAACCTTGGCAATCCACCTCAATGGGTTGGCAATGGGTCCTTCAGGACCTGGTTATGTCGCCAGTGGTAGCGCCCCTCACCCAGGGCTCTTGGACAGCAGTTAAGGATGTGCTCCAGGGTTCCTCTCTTCTGGCAGAGAGGGCAGGCTGGTGTCTCTACTTTCCCCCCATTGAAGAGGCTTGATGGGTTTGGCAGCACGCCGTAGACAGCCTGAATCAAGAACCATATCTGATGGGGCTCAGCCTTCCACAGCTTGGCCAGGTCCAGCCACAGCACAGCCAGGTCGCCCTTGCTCTCCTTGGTTTCCCTGATAAGCTAGGTGAACACGCCTGTGTGCTCCAAACAACCAGAGACCTTCGGGATCCCTCCTTTTTGGACTGAGGTGTTGATGTAGGAGTTTTTCAGAAGGTAGTCTATCAGTTTCCTGAGGACAAGGCTAAAGATTTATTCTTCAACGCTCAGCAGTGAGATGGTTCGGAACTGCTCGATGTTCTGAGACTTTTCCTCCTTCAGTATCCACACGCCATCTGCCTGTCTCCACTGATCTGCTACCTTGCCTTTCCTCCAGATCACCTTGAGGATCTTTTGGAGTCTATGTAAGAAAGCAGTTCACTTCCTGGACCTCTCCTTCTTTCTCCTGTGCCACTCAGCCCTCCTCAGGGTCATCAACCTCTTGCGGATTATGCTGAGTAGCTCAGCCAGAGGTCCCCTCTCCTCTTCATTGGCTGCTCTGAACTCCTTCTTTAGGCTCTTCAGCTCCTGTCTGAGCTGATGGATCTTGCTAGCTCTGTTGTTCATGGTGTATGGTGGCTTTGCTGTGCATTTCTCCTCCAGGACGAACCTCTCTGCTGCTAAGCTGATGGTGATTGTGGTCAACATCTTGAGGTGGTGCTCAGCTTCCCCTCTGGCAGTTGATTCCAGATTGGTGTTAATGTCTTCATCGAACTGGAGCCACTCCTTCTCCTTGCTAGCTTGGGGCCACTTCACCTGACAATGTTCTGAAGTCCTGTGTGTCTCTGGTTGTTGCATCACCTGGAGGCTCTGGGCACTATGGGGTGACTCCGGGCCAGGCTCCTCCTAGGTCTCACCAGGTGCAGTTCCTGCATGCTGTGACTCTGGAACCTTCTGTGCACACTTCATCTTGGCCTGGTGGATCTGCAGGCCATGTCAGTTCTTTTATATCTTGTCACACATGCATTCCATAGACACTGTTGTATTTCCATTGCCATGTGTCGTCATCCTTCGGTCCATCTGTTGGGATTCTCTTCCGCCCCCCCTCTCGTGAATCCCTGGGGGTATTACTCTTGCAGGTCGATCTGTAGCTTGTTGTGGGTCTCTTCCTCTCAGAAGATGCAGCTTGGGATGCTACCCCTCACTGCCCCAATGCCATCTTTCCGGGCTGTCCACTGACTCTCCAGCTGTCACCAATCTGTACTCGGTTGTCAACCAGACTGTTCCTGGTAGTCACTGGTGGTTCCAGTTAAACAGTTTTTAGATACACCCTATGGTGCACTTGGACACATCATCAGTGATGTAACCTGAGATCACAGGGGGTTTCGTGTCTTTCAACAATCAGACCCCCTCCCCCAGACGACCCAGCTGGGGTTGATCAGGCTCCCGCTTGTGTCCAGGTAGCTCTACCCTACAAGCCACACTTCTCCTCTCCTGATCCACAGCCACCTGGGTGCCACCTCTGCTGCATTGGTGGCTGACTTGATGGCCTTCTGCTGGCTGGCTCCTGTGTTCCCTAGTATCTTGTAGGCCCTGCAGGGGGGATTGGCCAACAAAACCTCGGCATCCTGCCCGCCATCCATTGCTCCGGCACTCCTCCATTAGCCCAGATTACTTGTCCCTCTTCCTCTCATGGGCCTCCTCCATCCGGTCCTCCCATGGCACAGTGAGTTCCAAAAGGATCACCTACCTGGATGCTGCTGAAGTGAGGACGATGTCTGGCCTAGATGTTGTTTGAGCAACTGCCTCTGGGAACTTCAGCTGCCTACCCAGGTCAACTCTCAGCTCCCAATCACATGCTGTTGCCAGCAGGCCAGGGGTGGTGTTTCCCGCAGCTCCTCTGGACTTCTCCCCAGCTCTAACAAAGGTGATGGTATTCATTGCTGAACAGAGGCTCTTGATGTGGCTGATCCCACTGCAGATGGTGTCCACTATGGCCCTCAGGACCTGGTTATGTCACCAGCGGTAGCGCCCCTCACCCAGGGCTCTTGG